GGGGAGGGGCGGGGCGGGGGGAGAGGGAAAAAAAAGCCTAACCAACCTTCCTTCTGCTGCTTTCCACCTGACTGCTGTGCAGGGGCAGGAGTCTGAGCCTTCATCTGCTCTTTTTTCAGTAACTCTTCCTGCTTCTGCCTCTTTTCCTCTTCATCTCTCCTTTTTTCTTCCACAGCTGCAGCGATTTCTTGCTGCATGCTGGATATCAACCCTCGCATCTCCTGCAGCGCTCGTTCAGTGTTGGCCACATCTGCTGGAGTAGGGAAACCTCTCTGTCAAGAAACAGAGGAGGTAACATAACATCAATCTTTTGTTCCACTATCTGTAGACCAATGGCAAGAGCAAGGAGCCTTTGAAGCATTAGCCTTCAGATAATCTGGGAGCCAACTACACATTTTATCCTCTTTGGTGAAAATATCTTTTTGTCCTTTACTTGTACATAACATTGGTCATAACATTCGTAAATAATGTTAGTCCATGACTAGATCTCACAAGATCTTGGACAACAAAAATTAATAACACAATCTGACAAGTATAAGGGAACCCCAATGCAAAGCCTAGACAGCTTCCTCTGCAGAAAGGCACCTGTGACAAGCTGGAACAGAGAATTAGCCTTATTACAGTGTTTTATTTTTCAAGGTTTGTATCCCACCTTTACATAGAGAAAAAAATTTTACATAGAGAAAAAAATTTTCAAGGAAACCTAGTTACTGCAAAAAGGCTTATGAGTATAGGAGAATCATAATGTGTTCAGTATTTACAACTTACGAACCACTCCGCTTCCACGGTTGTCTCAAAAAGGAACTTTACACCATCGAGAGTTTACAGTATTTTCATACTGAATCTTTCCTGTAGAAATCCTCATGCATTTTCATCAGCCATTTTCGAGAAAACAGCTAAAGTGCCGTAGAACAGAATTCTTCTTTTATATTAGATGCTTTATAGGACCAATATCTAAAAAACATTTCTGTGACATCTTATTTAACGGCCTCATAACAAGCTGCCTTTGAAGACAACTACAGGAAGCTTTATGAAGGAATGACAACCAAAGTTAAGAACAACTCTGGAGCCTCTACCTCACTTGTGGTGCGGATGAGTCCTGACACCAGCCCGCAGATCTGGTTGCCACGATTACTGTATGCAGAAAGATCGATTCTTGGCAAGTCTTTGTGCCTATAATTGGGATCAATCTGCTGGTTAAGCTGCAGCACTTCCTCCTGGATGGAATAAAGGCGACGCAATCTTTCCTGGCCCTCTTCCTTACGCAAACGCTCCAGCTCTTCCTGACGCTGCCTCTGCTGCTCTGCCTCGCGCAGTTTCAGGTTTAATACCTGGGGAGAAAAAGACAAGAGAGACACAAAATACTTAAATAACTCCAGCTTTACAGGTCCTTCCTGGTCTGATGACTCTAGCTTTACAGGTCCTTCCTGCTCCTACAACACACGTGCCTTTACTGCACTTCCACAACAACGCAGCAGGTGTCTAGGACAGCACCAGAAAACACATTCTCGCTCCAGGGGTGCCATGTAAATACAAATAAATCAATTGGTCTTTCCAGTTCCCACCAAGTACTCACGGTCTTTTATGAAAGACAACTCTAAAAAGTCTCAGACCTTTGCTCTGTGTCGGTGTTCTTCCTTCAATTTCTCTTGCTGTCCCTGAGCCTCCTTTGAGCTACAATACACATAAAGACACAAAAACTGTATTCAAGACATGCACAAGACAAAATACAAACAAACATACAGCAAGTTACTTTTAAAATAAGCCAAGCTAAAGGAACTTTAACTGTCAGAAATATAGTCTTTTTCTAACCATTGAAACCTCAACAGTAGCCAGAGATCTACTCTAGAAGACAAACAGTAACAGGATAGTTAATGTAAAAAAAGCAGCAGGTGGGATTTTCAAGCACAAGTGACTAGCATAGAATCGTCAAGCACAAGAACTAATCCTCACTTTGATTAAATGCTACAATATTTTAAGGATACCAGAGCTCATCTCACCTCTTCTCCATTACTTCTTGCAAATCTTGGAATTCCTGATGCTGCTTTAGCTCCTTCAGTTCATCGAAGCGCTTCAGTTGTTCACTTGCCAGGTCGTACACTGCCCTCACCATCTGCTCTTGCTGCTCCTGCCGTTGCCTTAGCCCCTCCTGCAGATTGCAGAGGTGCCAGAAGCACCGCAATGTAGTAATCACCGGAATTTGGACAGAAGAAAATACAGATTAAATTGTCCAAAGTGGGCTAACATTTAGGATAACTTACTGTCCTGCTACTTTTACCAGAGCATTGTTACATCTGGTTACGGACCTCTCCTGTGACTCACATATACCCTCAACTTTTTTTTTTACCTTTCCTTTCAACCTGTACATCTCTTCATACATCCGAATGCAGCCTTCAACTTCTGTAACTTTAGATGGCAGAACTTCTTGATCCATTTCCACCAGACTAAGATCATCATTTCCCTGCGTGGTCAGCATATAAACAAAATCAGTGACTGAGTATAGTATCAGCAACTCATGGGGGAAACCAGGTAAATCAAGTCTCCTAAACTGCACATTATTTCTAGAGAAACAGACAAAGGAGTCAACCAATGCACAACTTTTTAGCGTAGTTACATACTGCAGTAGTGTAGCCTCGCCATTTTGAGTATCCTCCAGCACCTATATGAGGTTGGGATAATTACTTTTCCCAGGCACTAGAATTGGGAGCAGAGATACCAAGAGCCTGTAGGACATTCACGAAGGCTAACTGTCACCTAGAAAGGCTTGACAGACTCCCCACCTTCTCTTAATATTCAGTGAAAATGTTACACTGGAAGAAGTCAAGACAGGTTTATACTTTGAATCATTCTTCAGGAGGAGTCTTCAGACTCCCTCTTAAAACTTTTATCAGATCTTGCTGCTTCATTAAGATGTTTTCCTCACAATGTATTTCTTAAGTCTACATGGGGCCAAGATGATGCAAAACTCTGCTGCTCAGTATCATTGCTATGTGGTGAAGTCATCATCTAATGCATAGCAACGGACATTTGTTTTCTTTTCAGGTGCTTCATCAACTTCATTACCTCCACAACCCAACTGCTCACTGCCCAGCTTCCTGCCCTTTTGCCTTGGAAAGGAGAGCCGTAATACATGTAAGTCATTCAAAGACTCCAGAGAACCCAAAGGGGTTACTCATGGACTCTTACAACAATTCTGTGACCTTATCCCTCCCAATGGATGAATCCGTGTAACTACACAGCTCCAACTAAGTTTTCCTTAGTTACGGTGAAAAAGGGAGTTTGCTTTTGGCCTACTGTGAAACATTATTCTATGAAAATTTTCGTAATACCAATTTTATCATCACCTGTTTATCCCACAAAAAGCAGAAACTAAGCACGTTTTTCCCCACAAACGAACAGAGCACAAACCAACCTTTATCAGACAATTTATGGCAGCAAGTTAGCACATTTTTTCCTCACAGCTGCTCACATACGGATTATAATCAGAGAGCTACCTTTGTTTCACTTGGCTCTGTAGATGAAAGTGGTGAAGAGCCCTGGTGGCTTGCAGACGTGATCTTCTCCAGAGAAGATGGCTGGTTTGTGAGGGGAGCGGATTCTTTAGGTGTTGAAGTTCTGGAGGGTGCGATTTCTTGGGCTGATTGCCCAATCACTCTGTCTAGGACCCAGCCAGAATAAGGGGACAGCACAACAGGAGACATGCATCCTTCCAAGACATCCTAGAGAGAAAACATTTTCTGTAAACATAGAATCATACCAAGAAAGCGATGACATGTTAACAAACACACACTGAAAACATTCACACATGCCAGCAAGTGCCGTATAACCGCAGCTCAGTATCCCATTTACCCTTTCCTTCTGCTGTCTTTTCAACACTTTTTCCGGGCTCCCCTACTTTTGCAGGACAGCAGGGCCGCCACGCTTGAACCTTCTCCTGTAACACCTCCTCCTCCTCCCCAAACCCTGCACCACTTAGCCAGAACGAAGGAGCCAGGACCCGACCTGCTGAGGGGCCCAGAACGAAGGAGCGAGGCCCCGCCCTGCTGGAAGGGGAGTAGAGGGGCCCAGCCGCTGACGCGCGAGGAGGAGCGGGCAGCAGAGATACCACAAGGGCGATTTATATATATTTCAAGCTTTCGGGACTGTTAGCGAGGTAAGGAGCCGATGTTCCACCGCTGGGGCAGCGCTGGCAGGGACGAGTCACGGATTCCTCCCCCCCCC